TGAGGCTGGCTTGCACTAGGGAAAGGGAAGTGTCTAGCATGCACAGACACAGAGGTAGTCATAATCAAGATCTGAGTCGACAGTATGTTTTACACCAGCCCCACAGAGGTCATCCAAATTGCTTACTGCTCTGAGATGGATTCTTAAGGCTTTCCATAGTTTCTAGAGGAGGAAAGGATGTAGGTGGTAGCTTGGTAGTAGAATGGCTAGTGTGCTTACTTGTGGTGAGAGTGTCTCTGATGAGTTCTCCCTCAGTTCGTGCCAGGGATTTCAATCTCAGTGTCCCATTCTGCTCTTGAATGTTTTGCCCCTTTGTTCACTGTTTTGGAGTCTGTTTCTTCTATTTTTATCTCCTTACATACAGATATTTTTTTTGGACAGATACTTTTACTTCCTTTCAGAAGTCACAACATCAACTGAGAATCCAAGCTTTAAGGCACTCTTCCAGTTGATGTTTACTCATATGAAGGGACACATCTGTAGAAAAGATGTGTAGAAAGCCATTACCCTGTGGTCAGGACATTCGTCTGAACTGTCTGAAGCACTCACCTCATGTGAATTGGAGAACACAAAGGAGTTAAGTTTTGGCCCTTTATTGTAGGTAAATACTGCGAGCTTATATCCTTTTGGGTGAGGACAGAAGATGACCTCTTTCATTCAACTGCACAGTACTTGATCATGAAGTCCATTCTTGGTGAAACTAGTATCTGTTCCACGAAAACAAAGTTGTAAAGTGGCCTACAGTGATAGAACAGCAATCAAGACTCAGGGTTACTTTAAGCCTATCACACATTCCCATATATTCCCATATATGGTTTCAACAAATTATAATTATATTCCTTTTTTCCTATGAAAAAACTGCTGTGTCAGAAAATTTTAAGTAACTGTAACAATAAGTAAGGATTCAATGTTTTGCATATCGCAATATGCTGTCTAAAGTATTTCTTTATACAAGTACAAAATATTAAAGGAAAATATTCGTTAGTGATTCTTAATTTAATCTTATTTATCTGTTTGAATGGGATTTCATGTTCAGATAGACAGGCTACGTTACTTCATATGTTTTTGGGAAAAACTTTTTTTTCAAAATAGCCAAAGAATTTGCTTACAGTAAATGAACATATACTTGTTCATAATATTACGAGTGGTTTTTTCAAAGGGATCTTCAGAGCTGGCTTAGTTCTGCTGATACAGAAGTTGGTAACACAGGAGAAGGGTTAAGCCAAGTACTCAGCACTGCTGGAGGTGCTGCCTATGCTTGTATAATAGAACTGAGGCTTGGTTAAACAGTGCATGTAAATGTATGTTGCTTCAAGGAGCATGGAAACTAATACATGGGAGCAACCCTTAGGGGATAAGGCTGCAGAATTGTGAGGAACGCCATACCACGAGGAGAGAGAAACAATTACTCACAGCTTTCATAATGATACATTGACCCTTGTGGAATTTAAGCACAGGCAGAAACGTGAGCTAGACCAGCCTGCTGTGAGCACATGGAGCCTCTTCTATTTACACTTCAGTTCCTTCATCAGTGGCCCACACTGGTATTAAAATTCATTTGCAGCACATCTATTTCACTGCCAGTGAGAAACTTTTCCAACATACTCTAGTGTAAATCAAAGTAGACTATGTTTCCCTGTCTTTTCTTCTCCTCCTGTTTGCAGAAGGAATGGCTAAGTTAAGGAAGTGTTATTTTACTCATTATTGTGGTTTAACCCAGCAGGCAGCTAAGACAATCACACAGCCGTTTACTCCCCCCTCAGTGGGATGGGAGGGAGAATTGACAAAAAGTAAAACTCGTGGGTTGAGATAAAGACAGTTTAATAGAACAGAAAAGGAAGAGAATAATAAAGATAAAAGAATGTACAAAACAAGTGATGCACAATTGTTCACCACCTGGAACTGATATTCAGCTAGTTCTTCAGCTGTGCTGTCTCCCAGTCAGCCTCCGGTTGTATACTGAACATGACATCATATGGTATGGAATAGTTCTTTGGCCAGTTTGGCTCAGCTGTCCTGGCTGTGTCCCCTCCCAGCTTTTTGTGCATCCCCACCTCCTCATTGGCAGGCCAGTATGAGAAGCCACAAAGTCCTTGACTTCTTGGCAACAACTAAAATATTAGTGTGTTATCAACATGATTCTCATCCTAATTCCAAAACACAGCACTAACCAGCTACTAGGATGAAAATTAACTCTATCCCAGCCAAAACTAGGACACTCATTCACACATGTACCTTTTATTCACCTCCCTCAGATTTCTCACTCTATTATTAATCCTCTTTTTCTCCTTCACCCAGTGTTTCTTCTCTCTCCCATCTGTACAGATGCCCTTTCCACATGCTGACTGTTTTCCCTCCAGTTTCATTTATCCTCGGACAGCTCTGATTGGAAAGTCAGGGCTGATAGTCACAAAACCAACCTGACTAGAGACTATGTAACCAGAGAGATATGATTAATATTTTTTCCAAACTTAGCACCATCATTTTCCTGTATTCCAGCACTCATCTGGCTTCCTTTTTATATATGTCCCATCATGAGCATCATTTTTATTTGAAAACATGGATGTTGGATTCTAAATTAATCTAAATTCTGCTACTTTCTGCCTCTAGACTTTTGGAATTACATAGTTTTGGTTTCTATTGCTTCTTTCTCCTTTTCCTCTCTGACTTTACAACTTGAAAAAGAGTTGGAAGTCCTCCTTTCCCCTAGATCTGCCCGTCTCTCTATCCTAATTTACCTCAGTATTTTCTCTCTCTATTATTCTTCCATGCATGCCTTCCCTCCTTAATTCTTTTCTTCCATGTTTTCCTGAATTTGTTCATCTTTGCTTTGTATAACCTTCTTCCTTGCCCCTTTATGTCCTTCGAGAATCTGAAATGATACCCTGCTCCCCAGAATCACTCCTTCCATCCTGCGGTGCCTCCCCAAGTCTGCCAGTGGTATTGCTGCACACCTATAAATGGTTACTGACCTTATAATCAGTAATTGCTCTTTTGGTGGGTTTTTTTCTTTCTCTAAAATTTGCTGCCCATGATGTGCTC